ATCCCGTCCCGCTTAGCGCTGCGGTTAGCCACGACGCTAACCACTTCCAAGTCTGAAGGTCGCATGCCTTTGATCTCTCAGTCTAGTGCAGCGCTTTATTAACTTTTAACTTTGTTTTCAACTCCAGTTAGGGCCTGAGCCAGTGGAAGAGTGGAAGCTGTCACTGATACTGAGGGCAGATATAATGCTATTTAAATGCTAATGTGTTAAGAGGAGCAAAACGACCTTTACTCACACTGTGCGCGCGGGCGGGGTGGCAGCACAGAACAGAAGGCCTTAATAAATGAGCGTCTTCCTCTGAATCTGTTTCCTGTCTGTGTACACCTAATGTCAGGTAGAAGGTGTGTTTATCACAGCTGAGCCCTGGAGCCTGTGACAGCATTATAGACATGTGTATTATGTCAAGGGGTGAAACAGATATTGGATGATTGTGGAGGGTGTGTGCGTTAAGTTGAACGATCATTTCCTTTTTCTGAGTTGATCTCTAATAAGTTAGCATGTCTGGAGTAACAGCAAAGGTCTCTGTTTTCTCAAATATCAGCTTTTCTTAATTTTTCTCATGTGCACAGTCAGTGTCGTTATTATCATCACATCAACACTAAAAGCCCAGTAGCTTGATGGTTGTACCCCAAACACTATTTCCACTGCACTTCTGGATTCAGCTTCCATCCTAGCAGTGCTTCTAAGCAGTTGGCACCCTTGCCAGGAAGCCAATAATGTGATGGCAGGTGCTGGTATCAGTGTATAAACAACAAGCCCTCTCCCTGTCCACAGATGTCACTGATACTTGTCTCCCTGTTTGCAAAGTACTTGCCAGAAGGATGTGCACTCACTGAGAGAGCTGTCTGCCTCGCTCAGGGTGCTTTGGCTAAAAATTAAGTCAACTTTCAAATGTTTCTGATCACAAATCTATTTTTTTCTGTCTTTTTTTGTAGCGGATGATAAATTTGGTATCAGCACTGGTAGAAGGTGAAAAAGAAGAAAGAGAAACTGAGGGCAGATGAGTCTGTCATCTGTCGTATAATCCCAGGAAGTACCATAACTCTGCGGTTAGGTAATTTATTCAGTGCAGCTCCCTGAGATACCTCAAGGAATAGTGAGCTGTCAAAGAAAAGCCTTGGAGTAAGACAGTGACATAACTTCAGATAGAAACGTAGCATCGCATCAATCAATAATGCAGCGTCATCCTCCTGTTTCACATGCTAGCAGGGAATGATCTGGACTCAAGCTAAGCAAGTTCACCTGAATTATCCCATTCAAATGCATTCAGCAGTAATGCGTCTGATGAGCTTTTTCAGCGTAGTTCTGTGCAGCCGTGCAAAAGCAACCTCTTCCCTCGGGCGTGCTTAGAGTAGCCTGGATTAATTTTACATCAGGCTGCCAAGAAGACATCCTCACGTAAGACTGGTAAACAACGAGAATTTGTTTTCATCTCGACAGATGGAGGACGGCAGCAACAGAAGAGCACGGCTGCACCTCAGGGGTTGAGATCTTAGACCTCATTAAAAATAATTTTGAACGGAATAAATTTGATCCAATTTGAAAGATGAAAGGGAACATCCACCCTTAGTTACGAGCCACTACCAGCAGAGTAAGTCGTTCTCGTGATCTTGCTCAGGTTTTTGATCTACGAGTACGAGACTCAATCAAACTATTGACAAAATAATCTAAATCCTCAATATTCCCAGGGAAAGTCCCTTAACCGGGAGAAAAGACCTGAAAAGGAATTTCACAGATAAAACTGATGCAGGTAAAGTTTATATGATTGTGAAGCTTTTGCCGGGATATTCAAATGTTTCACTGTCAGCACATGAAAATCCACTAACGTGGTGCCTTCGCTGACCTCAGTGTGCATCAGTCATATAAACGCTCCTCGGCTGATTTTGGCAGATGTTGGAGTTCAAAACTCTCATAATTTTATTGTAAGTGCAGCACATCTGGGCTTCTGATCTATGTGCTCACAAAATACGTTACAAGGAACATGTAGATAAGATGAATCTGAGTCACTTTTATACAGAGGCAGGTTATAAAACGGAAACGCAGAAGTCATTGAACCCTGTTAAAGGACCCTGTCTCTATGAGAGGAGACATTTCACAAGAGCAATGCATTATAAAAGTCATAGTTTAATGTTTCAGTCAGTTACACATTATGAAGTTATGTTGGTTAAAAGTTGCTGTTTCTGCCTGACCTTGCCGTTAGAGATTTCACGTGTTCTGACAAATCTGTTCTTCACGTTCTCTTTTCTGAAAGGCACGAGGCCCGAGTTTAAATGCTTCTTTCAAGGATGGATGAAAATGTGACAGTAATGCAGAGTCCTTGGTGTTTGTAGGATAATGAACAAATACAACATAATAAGATGTGCCTTTAGAAATGCGGTGATCTTGGACATGCAAAATGGCCTTTTCATTCTTTCAATCAAAATGTGACAAATCCGTTCCCAGCACTATATGTTCATGTGAAAAAGAGAGGAATCTACTGTAAAAATCTAATTACAGGACAGGAATTAAAGAGTAAGGAGCGCCCAGACACTGCAAATCAAACGCACTCGATTAATGGATCATCATCCGTCTGAGCACCTCTATAAAAGGTTTTTGCAGTTTGCAGGATTGTTGTGTGTTAATACAATGTCACAATCTTCCCAGAAGTGGAAATCCCAGTAAATTCACCCCAAGGTCAGACCACGGAAAACCCAAGAGCTCCATCTCAGACTCTGCAGGCCTCAGTTTGCAGGTCAAATGTTAAAATTCACGACAGCACAATTAGAAAACGACTAAACAAGTATGGAAGGACTGCCAAAGTGCAGAAACCAAACACCTCATACCAACCGTCAATACGGTGGTGGAGCCATGATCGTTTGGGCAGTCACTGAGTGGACATAAGCTGCTGTCACAGGTGAGGCCATCTGTCCCACAGCTCAAGCTTGGACCAAACTGGGTCATCAACAGGACAATGATCCCAAGCACAGCAGCAAATCTCAAACAGGGCGAATAAGAAAGAACCAAGTTGCTGCAATGGTCCAGTCAAGGTCTAGCCCTCAACCTGACTAAAACGTCAGGGTGGGACCTTTAGAGCGCTGTGCATAAATGAATCCTCAGCGAACTGAGCCAACGTTGTAAAGAGGAGTGGGCCAACATTAACACACAACAGCATTAGAGACTGATAAAGTCATACAAGGACTCATTCCTTCAAGTTATCGCAGGTTGTTCTACAAGCTATTCAATCAGAGTGTGCACTTAGTACTTCACTGTATTGCATAGAGTCCTGTGAAACGGTCTTTTTCCCATAACAATACCTCCAAAAAACCATCAAACAAACTAATATTACACAAGGGAAGTCTGTGCTTCAGCACTCCTTCAGTCTTCAAGTCAGGTGTCCTTGGGCAAGATACTGAATGCCAAAATTTCCCCTGATGCATCATTTGGTGTGTGAATGTGATGCAGAGAGGTCTGAGTGGGCAGCAAGGTAAAAATGTCTGGATTATTTCTACCTCGTGTAGGGTTAGGGTATACAGAGTATAGCTTCTGTATAGTGCCAGGAAGTACCACACAGAGATCATTTGTACGGTGCAGCTTATACAACTATTTAATTGCTCTGCAGGTTATTAGTCTTAATTTCAAGGTGCAATGTTTTGAGAGGCCAGTAACACTAAGTACAGTCTGCTTACCATTTTCCAAACGTTCAGTCAGTGCAACAGGCAGCTATAAGCTTCCAACATCTGCTGGTGCTCTGCTCACTCACACTGAAGATTTAGTCCTGTGGACTGAGGCATTAATGACGGTTAAGGGTCCAGCTGTCCTTTATTCATATCAAGGTATCAGAATTAAGTTTATGGAAATGTTTTGGGAATTTATAGAGTTGTTAATACGCTGATATGAGACTGTCCCATTCCCTCACTCTCTCCCGTTCCACAGTAGCTCATAAAAACTCTCCTTCATTTTATGGGGTTACAGCGGGAGTGAAAGTGCATGGGCTTTATGAGGCGTAGCAATGGCTGGCAAGAGGACTGAGATATGCTTATTTGTTTGTTTCCTATTTCACAAGACAGGCTGCAGATAAGTTTGAAATATGACATCACACTGCACTGTTCAGCTGCTCGTTGAAAACCAGGAGGTTTGGAGGACAGTCGCAATTATCAATATATTATGAAAAAGAGCAAACTCATAATTCACAGGCTCAAAAATATATTTTTACCTGTATAACTTGATAAGCATTCATTTTTTTGGCACACGTGGAAATGAGGACCAGGCCAAAAAAATTTATTTGTAAAAAAAGCGTTCCACTAAAGTTGAGTTTTAACCGACATTGTCCCGACATGTTTAAAGGAAGGAGCCTGTAATTAGAACATGCAGCGCTGAGGCATAAAAGCAAACCTTTCCTCTGATTAAGTTAAACACATTGGAATAGAGCACGGAGACGTTTGACCTCAGTGACCGATTGCACAGAATTGGTTTTTAATCTTTGGCTACAATGCCCAACAGAAGCAGAGAGGGAGGGTGCATCTGGAGATCACCTTCCAAGGTCTCCTTCCCGGCCTTACGCCTCACGGCACACTCCTCGGGGCTTTGACGGATGACACAAGCGCCGGCGAGTGATAGGCTATTATTTCACTTTGCTTTGGATAAATGGCAATGCGGGATCCTACCTGTCGCCTGCCCTTCTCTTTCTTTTGTCTTGTTCTCTTGTCCCATCTTTACAGCGGTATGCCACCGCAGACGGGAATAGAAGGTGAAAACTAAGAGTGCTGAGATTTTATCAGAGCAATTTGTGGATTTCTCCTCCACATTTCAGCTCTGCTGCTTTTTGACTTTTTGTTTTTTTCCTCCCTGCAGCCAAAGTGGGTTTGGAGAGTGAGAATAAGCTGGATAACGACCAACTTGTGTGTTATTTGGCTTTTTTCTCCCCCATCATTAAGTGTGAAATGCGTTTCTTTTTTGGGAAGCTGCTTTTTTTACCCTTATTCTGATGAAATTGTCTCTGCTTATTGCTTTCAGACCAACAGTATTCATGGTCCCCCTCGCAGTACTTCGATGAGGACAGCTACTCCCCTCCACCCAGGAACATGAAGGGTCTCTCCGGCGGCCGCCCTGCCCACCTCCAGCTCACCTCCCCCACCTCTGCCCACACCTGCGGCCTGGCTGATTGTGACCATTCCCTGGACCACCTGCACCACCATGTTGACTCACGGCCTCCTTCCTATCTCCTCAGCCCCACTGAGAGCTGCCCCCTTGACGGTCATCACCGCTGCTCCCCACGGAGCTCCATCCACTCTGAGTGCATGGTGATGCCGATGTCCATGTCGGCCACTGACCACTCTATCTCCAGTAGCACTTTCCCCCGCATGCACTACGGCAGCGCTTCGCGGGACAGTGGCGGGAACGCCTCGGGTGGCAGGGAATCTCGAGACAACGGCGGCTCATCCTCGCACGGCGGCAGTGGCAAAATGAACCGAATCCCAGCAAACCTCCTGGACCAATTTGAAAAACAGATGCCACTGCACCGGGACGGCTTCCACACGCTGCAGTACCAGCGCACCTCCACCACGACCACGACTACAGAGCAGCGCAACGAAAGCCCCGGGCGAATACGCCACTTAGTCCACTCAGTACAGAAGCTTTTCACAAAGTCACACTCCCTGGAGGGCTCCTCCAAGATGAACGGCACCAAAGGTGACTCACACAGGGAAAGCTCGCACCACCACCATCACCACCACCAAGGCCACCACAAACACAGCAAACGCAGCAAGAGCAAAGAGCGCAAGTCCGACAGCAGCAAGCAGCGCTCGGGAGGTTGGTGGAGTTCGGATGACAACCTTGACAGCGACAGCACATACAGAACGCCGAGCGTCATGTCACGGCATCCAGTCGACCACATCAGCCACTGTTACCCCGAGTCTGTGCACGGCCACATGGTGGGAGATCTGTCGCTAAAGACCTCCAAAAGCAACAACGACGTGAAGTGCTCAGCCTGCGAAAGCATAGCCATGGCGCCAGAGGGCAAGTTCATGAAGAGAAGCTCCTGGTCAACGCTGACAGTTAGCCAGGCCAAGGAGGCCTACAGGAAGTCCTCACTCAACTTGGAAAAGCCAATGATGCCCACAGATCTCAAGCCCAACCTCAGGCCCTGCCACTATCTACAGGTGAGTTTGGCTTTGGTCAGGTTTAAGAACAGGGACTAGTCAGCAGACGCAAAAACAAGTAATTTTTCAGAACTCCTGACATCATCGCATTATTCTGCATCTTCAGTGAGCGCAGTAGTATAGTTGTAGTTACACTGGTGCACTGAGCTGCACTGCACCATTATGACTCCCCAACATCCCGGCTGGGATACAAGCGGGGCCATCAGATTTCGACCAAACAAAATCAAACCTGCATGCCGCCAAACAGAGTTTATTTTTAAATGAAATGCTCTGATTTGTATGTTGATGCAACAGAAGGAGCGATGATAGCGTTCGTTTTCTGTCACTGCACTGCTTTGAGTGTCGTTTTATAGAGTTTTCAAGAACTTTAGGCTTTGTAGAAAAGACGAGCAAGCCTGCGCTCACAGGAGAAGAAAAGCTGCTCGTCTCAGTTGGCTTTAAAAGCTGATCTCAAAGACAGTGTTTTGTTTGTCACTGCCCTGGATATTACATTGTGAACCTGTCCTATGGCTCAGCATGTGGCTGGCAATAGAAAGGACTAGCACAGCAGGACAAATCAATTAACTCTGTAAATGATCTGTGCTGGAGGGGAAGAGCTGGCAGTATGAGAATAAAAGGCCAGAAATCAATCTGGATTTTTTTTACTGTGTTGTTTTCTCTGATTTCACAGAGGATTCAGTCTGGAAAAGTTTAGCATTTAGCTCAGACCCATGATCGGCTCTGCAGGAGACCTTATAGCACAGAAGGGATCAATTCAGTGAGTCAGCACTTTTCACAAAAGGTTCTCATGGGTTTATAAGCATGCTGCAGGGTATATGGAATAAGAAAGTACACTTTCAATCCCAAATTGCAAATTCAAGCCAGAAAAACGACATTATGTAACCGTGCTGCTGCAAATATAACAATGTGAAATGTGATTGCATCATGTAAGTACTGCCTGTAGCCAAAATAAAGCGATCGTTCAGCGCAAAGAAAAAGAGCAGACTTGGAGACTCGTTGCTCTAAGCAGAGAGCGTGTCGTATGATTGCCTAATGTTGTAAATGAAAAGCCGACACGTCACTGAAATCAGCTTCAGCTGATATCATCGGACAGTTTTACGATGAGTTTTTCAGCACAGAATCAGGCAGACGGTGCATCATCCACTCCAGTTTTTTTGCATATCCAATAAGGAAAGTAATCTCTTAAAGAGAGAGTTGCAGTGCTGGCACCCCCACCTGTTCCCGTCTTCTGTTTGGTCATTCAGCTGAGGTAGTGTCCGAGTCACAGCACTATAAACACTTCTAAAAATATCCTGCCGCAGGGCTATATTTAGACCGGCGTTATCAATCCGATCCGTACAGGGCTTGACACATCTTCCCTCCCCAGAGGAAAATCAATGCGCTCTCAGGGAACGCTCGGAGACGACGTATTGAAGGAGAGGGAGAGAGAAAGTTGGAGATGCGTATATATGGCTGAGGTTTATGGCTCTGTGGATGTGCTGAGATACTTTAGGAAACAGAAGAGAGGAAACAAAGCAATGCTCCCCGTGGCTGCTGTTGTTGCTCATCAACAGGAGCAGTCAGGCAGAGAGATGGAGCCAATAGTCAGGAATGATACTCTACACACACTGAGGGGTCACATTGAGAAGTACTCGGATCCTGCTGCTGCTGAATTGGGATTACCCACAACTGTCTGCTCTGCAGCAGCAGCATAAAGCCTATCCAGGGAGAGTGTGTGTGCTGAACCTGTCAGTGTGTGAGTGGCAGTGTTCGTGAAAAAGTGTGTTTTTTTCTGTTTATCACACACCAGATGGTTTGATGAGGTGCTAGTCACCTTGTTGCCGTCCTTGGGTGATGACGGAGAGAGTGAGAAACTTTGAAAGTTTGGTAGAACTATAGACACAGACTTTTATCATAGACTTATTAAAGTAATCTAACTTTGCAACTTTGTAACAAATCAATCCCATAAATCCTACTGCAGGTAATAAAGTTAAATGTTAATGTTTGTGCACGTGGCAGGTCTGTGCGAGTCTTTGTGCGTGGAAGCAGGATGAACTGGACATTAGGGAAGACAGACGGGTTCATATAGAAGATTTTTCTCTAAAATGATAAGTGGTGGGGAGTCAGACCTGGCATTAGCATCTCTTCCTGTCATCTCTCAAATTAGCCCTAATTAGCCCGTTCTGAGATCTGTACACACTAATAGCCACTGAACCATCTATTGTAATGCGCGTGTAGGTGTGTGGGCCAGCCTTTGTCCGTCGTTGCAGTGTGCAGCAGACGCTGTAATCCATGTTCAAAATGTATCAGCATCTTATGGCATTGCAAAACACACTTTTAATTAATTTTGCAACGCTTTGTTGGTTTTGTTATTGTTTTCCATGAATGGTCGGATGCTGCATCGCTGTGAATTATGGCCAGGAATTATCTCCTTCCTTTCACGAAGGATGTATTCTCAGTGTATCCTCCACTAAAGGAGGTCATAAAGGAAGAACTGAAGAACCTTTCCTAACGATTTAGAGAATTCAAACGGCTCTTAATATGTCAGCTACACAGATACTTCCAGATCACTTTGGTTTGGAGCCTTTCTAAGTAAAACCGTCTATTAAACTGCACCCAATAACTCTGCGTTACTGACAACTCTCAGCCCAGATTAAGTGAGCTTTTCTAGCAAATAGAGTTCCTTCCTCTTCCTTCGTACAGTAGCGTTGTACAAAGGAAGGATTAGTCTTTGATAGTTTTGCTGATAGGGCATTGCGGTGGGATTTAATAAGCCAATTAACTGCCATGTTGGCTTGCCAAAGGTGGGGCTTGAGAGGCAGAAAGGCTGCTGATTAAAATACAAAAGCAAAGTGCAAAGCAGCAGAAACAAAACTGGCACTGTGATGGAAAGCTGTAGTAACGCACACCCACACACACTCGGGGGTTTCCTAGCATTTTTATGAAGGAGTTCCCAGATAGCAATCGGGCCACGAACCCTTACGTAGAGGGATCTCGTCCCAGGAACCCGAAGATCAGACGACTGTCTGTCTCTGTTTGCCGGAGGCGACGATGTGGATTATCACTGTGACAGCGTGCATCTTATTGCAGTCGTGTTATTATGTCAAACCTCAAGTTTCTTTTGATTTTAATGTGATTGTTTCAGGGTATAAACATTAAATAGTCACTTGTTAAGCTGCAATCTGCAAAATGCCTTTTTCTGATCCAGTAGCCAGGCTAAATCAATAATAATAGCCAGCTATGATGCCATCCTAATTCTTGGGAGGTTTAATAGCCATATTTTCTGCCTTACAGGCGTTTCCTGCCAAGACTTCTTCACTGTTTAAGTGTATTATTACCATGTGGTGCAAAATACCCCAGCACTCCATATGCAGTGTCTAACAGTCTGTTTGGAGAAGTTTCGTCGCAAGCAAGAATTCTCTGATAAACCAGTTGTGCAGTAATAAAAAAGTAATATTGTTTATTTTACATGAACATGAACACATGAGTACATTCAGCATTCAGCACAGGTGTTACCACAGGGGACAAACGTGGAAGCAAAATCACAGACTGCACAGAGTTCTGATGAATAAGAAGGAGAGAAGAATATGTATTTGTAATGCTGGGGTAGGTGAAGGATGAAAAGCGTAGGTAGGTTTCCCCCTCACAACAGAAGAGAACCTCATGCCATCTCTTTTATCTGTCATCAAAATACTCAAAAGGAAAATCTGTCCTTGTGTGTACTTTCTGTAAGAAGTTCTTCCTTTTGTTGATCTGAAAGGTTTTTTGTTTGTTTGAGACACCTCTTAGCAACAGAACAAGGGTGAAGAGTTGAAAAAGTCTTGGTTGAATGTCTTTCTTCTGTTTTTAGTGCAGAAATGTTGGGCAGTCTCATTCACATCGAGTTATCATCACAAACATGCTGCGGCCCTCAAGATTTCAGAGATTTTAATGTCAGTCCACAGCTTTGCTTCACTGTGAAATATCTCAACGTTTACTCAAATGATTGCTGCAAACTTTGTGCATTTATTCATAAAGCACAAAACCTTAAACCGAAAGCCAGCAGCTTCATGAAAGCATGCTAAAAGGTGGAACGAGCTGCTGAATATCAATTAAAAATCAGTAGAGTGTTGATGTGGCAGATGTGCTCATGCTAGAGTGCTACACAATTATTGCAACCATGTAAACTTGCAGTCTTGTTAGCTTTGAAGACGGGGACTGTCTGTGATCAGTTGGTTACCATCTAACAATTTAATTGTTGCAATATGTTTGTGATAATGTAACTATAGTAAGATTCCAAAAATTGCAACTGTGTTGCCGTTTATCTACACAGAAAATCACATCAGTTACTTTTATTCCACAAATCCTGATCCTGCAGAACCCAAAAACTGCTAAATGACCCAGGCATTCAGCAAGCTTGTTTATAGAAATATAACCAGAATAAACAGTAATTATTTGCAGACCTTTTCTAATCTGCTGAGAATGACTGCAGGCAAACAACAGTTGCTGCAACTTCTTGCAATCAGTCTCCAACAGCAGAAATAAAAACCCCTCAGCAATCACAGATTTGTTTCTAGCTGCAAGGAGACTGACATCTTCTTTTTATTCTACAGCGACTGAGCCATTCCATTCTACAGCGACTGAGCTGTTGCTCGTTAACCATCTCAAGTTCAGGAGCGCGCTCCGTTGAGTAAATGCCCCGGTGAGCGTTTTTTTTTTTTTTTATAAAGTTACCATTTAGCTCACAGTTCAGGTTCATAGAGCTGCCAGCACGTCTGCAGATTAGAACCCTCCTGTTAAGCTCTTGGAATCATTCGTTGCCCCTGTGAGCTCTGCTGATGCTCATACAGCAGCTTTAGTGTTTGAATCACTCTGAGAAGTGCTGTTGGTATTCATGAGATTGATTCTGTTACAGCCAAAATGACAAATTTATTCTCTTCATCTTCCCGGGGCATGACTGCTGTCGTTTTGTTACTGAGCACGATTATTTACACTTTTACGACTTTGTCTGAAAATGTAAAGCGGCAGTAAACAAACAAACA